CCCCAAAACCCCAAAACCCCAAAACCCCAAAACCCCAAAACCCCAAAACCCCAATAATCAAACAATTAATTGAATCCTTCTTTATTTACTCAAATTATTAATTAACTTCATCAAGCTTAATATTATTTTGACTTAAATATGAAACAACTTGCTCTGGAACCTCTTCTAGTACTTCTTCTGCTAGTGCTTGCTTGCTGAGATGCCTGAAATCATTAAATTTGACAAACTGAACAATGTCTCTTCTTGTTGCTTCTCCTCTAGTATTTTTCAGAACAACATCATCTCCGTCTAATTCAATCATTTTGTCAAATGAACTCTCACCAAGCCCAATAATGATGATACTCAGAGGGTAGTGACTTCCCTCAACAATGATATCCCTCGTTATTGGCATATCATGGATATCTCCATCTGTCAATATCAGTAGAATGTGATACATTCTTTCATCCATTCTTTCTTTTATGTAATCAACAGTTTTTCTCATACATTCTCCGAAGTTAGTGGGGCCATATAGACCGCAGTTAAGAAGGGAAAATTGATAAGATTCTAAAATTCCATTTACCCCATCTACTTCGGGGTCTTCAAGACCATTCAAATGAAAGCAATGAGACACTTGGTTTGATCCGCTGTACCGAGGGATGCCTCCAAATCCGTAACAAGGATATTGCCGATTGTAATCATACAGCTCTAGGATATTTCCCACTTGTCTGATTGCATTTTGGTAGTCATTAAACTCTCCAGTAGGGTTGAGGTAATGAAGCGAGCTAGGCACTGTTACTTCTCCATTTGATGCTGTGAAGTCAACACAGACCATAAGATTCATCTTCCAACCTGAATGCAAGAAATCAAAGAAAGAAGCTCTTTCTTCAATAAAAAATTCTTCGAACGATCAGATAGATTTTTGTTGGGCACCATCTTTGAATAAGTTATATTGAGTATCCCCATTTCTGATTCTTAACATTGTAGTTTCGAATTCTCCAAAGAACTTATGATGCCCACTGTTTCTCCAAGAATAGACTTTAAATTTAAGAGGGCATTGTAAGTCTCCATTTCATATCTCTTTTGCTTCATACTTTAGATACCGCCAAGTAGGGTTTAGATCATTTCTAATTGGCTCTGTCTGAATAACTCTCAGAAATTCTTCCTGGTCATTCTCTCTTGCTCTTTCAATAAAAATGAAGGGATCGTCACTTCCTCAAAACCAACCTTTGTTCGAAACCAGGTCGTTTATTCGAAGTGAAAAGTAGATTAAATCATTGCTAGTGGCCACTTTTTCGGTACGAAGGATTATCTGCCCTCTAGATTTTTTCTTGTTAGGAATAGTAAGTGTACCAGTTAGAGTGGTATTCACGCTTCCCATAATCTCTCCCAAGGTAGTTTCAAAATTCCCTATCCTTTCTAGCCTGGTGACATCTACATCGAATACTTCTACTTTTATTTTCTGAATTTTCTCAAAGTAATAATCCATTTCGAAGTAAGTTACGAAGTCAGGATTAAGGTTGTTTTCAATTTGTTCAGTTTTACCATATAGCATCCAGTCATCAGGATGGTCACTATCTGCAATGTATACATGACAGACAGGGTCCGACACTGTTATAATGTCAAGATCCGCTAACTTACGACATGAGATGTGTAAAGTAATTTTCTCTGTGGGTTCTCCCACGTTGTAAGGTCCTTGGTTTCCTCCTTCCATATTGTTAAAAAATTTAATTTTACCTCAACTTAATCAAATTTTAAAGGGGTTTTGGGGTTTTGGGGTTTTGGGGTTTTGGGGTTTTGGGG